ACAACAATATAGGAATCAAAGTAAGTGAAACCAACAACATAAAGCCAACGAAAATGGAATCCGAAGGAGTGAAGGGTCTTTGCTCCCATTCTTGAACTTGGGACCGCAAAACCAAGAAAATTAGGAATCGAAGAGGCGATCGGATTGCTAGATGTGGGAAGTGTGAAGGGTCTTTTGCTTATTCGGTGAAAGACAGAGTTAATCGCAAGGTTCATCGTATCGGCGAAGTCCGATACGAGTTAGACGAGCAAATAGGTGAAAATTACAAGTCTCACATGAATCGGTGCTGATTTGGCCATGAATCGATGCTGATTTGGCCACTAATCAATGATATTGATTGGACTCGGAGTTATATCGGTAGGCATTAGACGATATGCACCGTATTCGGACCGATTTGGTGAGAATCTTCTCCAAAATTTCAAAATCCCAAACAAAATGAAACAAGCCAAAGAAAAAAGAAAAGGAGTAGAAAAAGATGAAATCCACATAAAATCTGCAATATTTCGAACCCTAAATCATAGACATCACAAAAAAATTACCCTTGACAAATAGAAGAAAAATTGAAAAACATACTCGATCACCCCTTTCTCTTCTTCTTAGCAACCAGCAGGCGAGACAACAAACACCTAGATTGCTCTTTCCCAGCAATCAACTGTGATTCGAGCCTCCTATTGCATTGCCCAAGACGATTCATCTGTCAAGTCCTCTCTCTCGCTCTTTCTCTCTGGTTGACAAGTGGCCAGCACACAAGAGTCAAAAGGCACGATGACCTTTAGAGGTTATCTTTCTCTCTCTCTTTTTTTTTCTTTTTCATCTTAAAAGTCATCTCTAGTTTTTTTTTTGAAGTTTTAGGTATATCTTTTTTGGTTCTTCAGTTTTGGGTATACAGTTAAACTTAGACATATACTTTACATTTATATTTCATTATATTTCTAAATTTGATACATTAAGTCTAAAATTGAAAAAAAAGTATATAAAAATGCACACTTTTATAATTTTTGGCTCAGTATATTATTAAATGGTTACATTAAACACTTATGATTATTTTGTTAAAAGAAACGAGAATACTTATAATTATTGATATTTTTGTTAGTGACTCCATATTTAGTTTTCATCATGCTTAATGTGTTACGAGATTTATTTTAAATATATGATGTATGGATATTGGTATTTATATTTTTTAGAATATTTGATAGTTTTTTTGAAATTTTTTGGACCAGCTATCTAGTCTTTTGTGCGTGTCGGCCAATATTGTACTGCGACTGATGTGTCTTAGTGGCTCCCGAGTAAAGGGTCAATACTGCGACCTTGAACCATGACTAATTGAAGATGTTGTTAGTAGCTACTTCCCTCAAAGATGAGGTATTCCTCTATCGCAACAGTTACGTCGCACAACAAGCAGCCAAAGAGGGAGAGTTATAACCACAATAGGAGAAAGGAGAGAGATTTCATTTGTGGGTGCAGGTAGAGTCTGGAGATCAATTTAGGGCCAATTTGCTCAAAATTTGGATTTTATACCATCGACAATCAGATCGTCGAAATTCTTTGAATTGTTCGGTTCACTGGTTTTTACTAAAATCGGCTGGTTTTCACTGTTTGTTAACGGTTTATTTACATGGATGATCTAATAGTTAAACTGGACTGATTTAGGGTCTGGTTAATCGGTTTGATCGCGGCCAGTCCGGTTCAGTTCTAATACCCACTAATAAAAAATGTGGGAGTACTAGATAAAATTGACTGGACAAAAGTTGGTAATGCTCCGGTTTTTCGGATGCATTAATTAATATCGATCATAATAAACCATTAATATTATCTCAAATATAGGGTTAGAGCTCTAATTATCTCAATAAAAATTATAATTGTAAATTTGATTTCCAAAGACTAATAAAACTTACAATTTCAATTTTATAAAAAATTATATGAAGATCGTCCATCTCCGATGTTTCAAATATTAACTCTGGTCCTTTTCTTTCAGGGCATCTAGTAAAATATTAAAAGCGGGGAAGTATACAATACAACAAGAAACAATATGTTCAACGATAACAAATATACGAATGATCAAATACCATATAATTTAGATGATAGGAAACATAAACAGTGGAATTATCAATTAAATTGGACATGCCACATAGTTCAACTCCTATCAAACATAGTTTTATACTCGATTCATCTTGGTCAAATGACAAGTGATACTTAGATATATAAATTTATACTCATACCAACCAATCACACCCAGCAAGGCTATAATTACAATGGTACCCTGTAAGGCGATAATCACATTTCACAAATTATGTCTCAAGTATATTTCGTACATGTACCAATCAATTTTAAAGTATTTAGCCCAAATACAAGTCTGATCAATCAAAACTTGCAAAATTCATATTAATGGGAAGTACTAGATATAAGTACAAATTTAAGATAATAAAAATGACACTCTTTGGAAAGATATTTAAAGATAAGAACATATTGTATATTATCCCGTACCTCAAATCACCAAGAGATTCTGATAAATTTGATCCCCTTAAGAACAATATATCCCAACTTCCTAAAATTCAAGATTAAAATCACTATTTTATTTTGAACCCAAAGTCTCGCTATTTTTTTTTCTCTCTCTTTCCTTCTTTGCTCTCTCATGGTTTATCTACTAATGACTTGAGCTATTTATAGCCAGAAGAATACTTGAGCCCCAAGTTTCTTATGTCACCATGGTGACATCATATGGACATTTGTCCATTTTCCCATGGTTCTTTTGGGAAAAAAAAACCAATACACATATCACCTATGCACTGAGGTTCATTTGCTTATTTAAAATTTTAAAAGTAAAACTTTAATATGATGTTTTAGATTACATAAAATCATAGTTATCTTTCAAATAATCACAATCTACCCTCCTTAAAAAGAATTTTGTCCCCGAAATTCACTCCGTTGTTTGCTCTAATACAATTTTCAATTATTTACTTTATAATCCAAAATTCTGATACAAATTCTAATTTATACACTCATCCAACATAAATTAATTAACTCACTTCGCAAGTATTCATATAAGATCTGAAGCTTATGTTCTAATACTTCGAACTTTTATACGGGCAACGAAAACTAATTGACTCACTTCCCATAGGACCCATATAAGATCCGGTACGTAAACTCTTATACCATTTTGTAATATCCCCATTTCCAAGACGCATTACTTGATAAGTCAATCAATAAAATTCCACAAAATATCCCAATTTCCTAAAATTCAAGATTAAAATCACTATCTCATTTTGAACCCAAAGCCTCGTCATTCTCTCTCTCNCGATAATCACATTTCACAAATTATGTCTCAAGTATATTTCGTACATGTACCAATCAATTTTAAAGTATTTAGCCCAAATACAAGTCTGATCAATCAAAACTTGCAAAATTCATATTAATGGGAAGTACTAGATATAAGTACAAATTTAAGATAATAAAAATGACACTCTTTGGAAAGATATTTAAAGATAAGAACATATTGTATATTATCCCGTACCTCAAATCACCAAGAGATTCTGATAAATTTGATCCCCTTAAGAACAATATATCCCAACTTCCTAAAATTCAAGATTAAAATCACTATTTTATTTTGAACCCAAAGTCTCGCTATTTTTTTTTCTCTCTCTTTCCTTCTTTGCTCTCTCATGGTTTATCTACTAATGACTTGAGCTATTTATAGCCAGAAGAATACTTGAGCCCCAAGTTTCTTATGTCACCATGGTGACATCATATGGACATTTGTCCATTTTCCCATGGTTCTTTTGGGAAAAAAAAACCAATACACATATCACCTATGCATNTATTTAGCCCAAATACAAGTCTGATCAATCAAAACTTGCAAAATTTCATATTAATGGGAAGTACTAGATATAAGTACAAATTTAAGGTAATAAAAATGACACTCTTTGGAAAGAGATTTAAAGATAAGAACATATTGTATATTATCCCGTACCTCAAATCACCAAGAGATTCTGATAAATTTGATCCCCTTAAAAACAATATATCCCAACTTCCTAAAATTCAAGATTAAAATCACTATTTTATTTTGAACCCAAAGTCTCGCAATTTTTTTTTCTCTTTCTTTCCTTCTTTGCTCTCTCATGGTTTATCTACTAATGACTTGAGCTATTTGTAGCCAAAAGAATACTTGAGCCCCAAGTTTCTTATGTCACCATGGTGACATCATATGGACATTTGTCCATTTTCCCATGGTTCTTTTGGGAAAAAAAAACCAATACACATATCACCTATGCATAACTTCTTATTCTCAATGTGACACTAGTCCAATTGCCATTCTAAATATGACATTTGTCACTTTTTCTTATGTATATATATATGTATGTATGTATGTATGTATATATATTGTATATTAACTCTTTAAATATTTAATATTTAAAGTATTATTCCAACACAAATATGACTTATATTATAGTTATTTGACTTATTTTCACGCAAACAATCTACTGAGGTTCATTTGCTTATTTAAAATTTTAAAAGTAAAACTTTAATATGATGNACCCAAAAAGATGCCAAAAAATACATTTGGACCCATAAAGATTCAACCTCCTCGTGTTTATCTCTAAAAATTGTTGTATTTCTCTCAATTCATACAACCCATATAAGAGCAAAAATGCACAAAGCCAAGAGTTTTCCCTCTGCTACTTCCACCCAAACCCCTAAAATTCATATAAAACATAGATGAGATCGTTCTCGGAGCAACCCAAGAGTTTTCAACAAAATCAAACAATTTACACATCACACACTATTGTGGTGAAAGACAATTCATCCTTCTTTGAAGCACATNGCAGAGTTAATCGCAAGGTTCATCGTATCGGCGAAGTCCGATACGAGTTAGACGAGCAAATAGGTGAAAATTACAAGTCTCACATGAATCGGTGCTGATTTGGCCATGAATCGATGCTGATTTGGCCACTAATCAATGATATTGATTGGACTCGGAGTTATATCGGTAGGCATTAGACGATATGCACCGTATTCGGACCGATTTGGTGAGAATCTTCTCCAAAATTTCAAAATCCCAAACAAAATGAAACAAGCCAAAGAAAAAAGAAAAGGAGTAGAAAAAGATGAAATCCACATAAAATCTGCAATATTTCGAACCCTAAATCATAGACATCACAAAAAAATTACCCTTGACAAATAGAAGAAAAATTGAAAAACATACTCGATCACCCCTTCCTCTTCTTCTTAGCAACCAGCAGGCGAGACAACAAACACCTAGATTGCTCTTTCCCAGCAATCAACTGTGATTCGAGCCTCCTATTGCATTGCCCAAGACGATTCATCTGTCAAGTCCTCTCTCTCGCTCTTTCTCTCTGGTTGACAAGTGGCCAGCACACAAGAGTCAAAAGGCACGATGACCTTTAGAGGTTATCTTTCTCTCTCTCTTTTTTTTTCTTTTTCATCTTAAAAGTCATCTCTAGTTTTTTTTTTTAAGTTTTAGGTATATCTTTTTTGGTTCTTCAGTTTTGGGTATACAGTTAAACTTAGACATATACTTTACATTTATATTTCATTATATTTCTAAATTTGATACATTAAGTCTAAAATTGAAAAAAAAGTATATAAAAATGCACACTTTTATAATTTTTGGCTCAGTATATTATTAAATGGTTACATTAAACACTTATGATTATTTTGTTAAAAGAAACGAGAATACTTATAATTATTGATATTTTTGTTAGTGACTCCATATTTAGTTTTCATCATGCTTAATGTGTTACGAGATTTATTTTAAATATATGATGTATGGATATTGGTATTTATATTTTTTAGAATATTTGATAGTTTTTTTGAAATTTTTTGGACCAGCTATCTAGTCTTTTGTGCGTATCGGCCAATATTGTACTGCGACTGATGTGTCTTAGTGGCTCCCGAGTAAAGGGTCAATACTGCGACCTTGAACCATGACTAATTGAAGATGTTGTTAGTAGCTACTTNTAACTATCTTCTTACAATTCCTAAGCTTCTCCTCATCCCCTGAGAAAAAAAAAATTGTGTCATCTGTGAATTGCAGACACAGAGTAGGAAATATGGCTCTTGATAAAGGATAATGACAGCATAAGATTTATGTAGCCAATCCAATTAGTTGAACCAGTGTTTTGTTGAGTTGAGTGAAGGTGTTTCCTGTATTGGGTTTCAAGGGCAGTTTGGTTGCCATAGCATCACCATCTGGGTCTGGATCCACTGTTTGGTGCTTTCCATTGACCAAAAGAGTACCTGTCTAGGGTTTTCTCATTCCCATTATTGTTGCAAGGTCTGGTGTTCATACAGATCAATGGGCATTACAAATTAAGCAAAGATATTTCTGATAGACATGCTTGTTAAGTCCTTTAATGGTAACTAGTAAAGCTAATTAAATAGGTACAATCTTAAAAAATCAATTATCACTTAATCCATAAAGATTGCATGTTACTCTTTGTGCCTGCTAGTTATTTTTTATTTTTCCCGAATTCAATGCTTTCCTCGTTGTGTTTCAAATTATGCATTGAACAATGGTCTTTCAAGTTCCATTCTTGCACCAACTGCAAAGTTTTCATGTTCTAGAAATTTTATTTACTTCTGATGATTCAGTCACATTGGCATTTGGTTTTAGGCATTGGAGAGTGTTGAAGAAGCTCTGCTAAGGCTAGAGGAGTTGCTTCAAGAGCTGCATCTATCAAACTCTAGTTCTGGGAAGGAGCATTTGAAAGCGGCTTGTTCTGACCTTGAGAGTATAAGGAAACTTAAGAAAGAGGCTGAATTTCTAGAGGCATCTTTCAGGGCAAAGGCAGCTTCTCTTCAGCGGGTATGACTTGGTATTTCGTTGAATAAGTACATATATCCTTGAAAAAAATTACAGAGTCACAGCTTCTCCTGGCATAGTAAATGCACTTGTTGCTTCTGTATTTATGGATTTATGTTTGCTTTACATTGGAACTTTAGTTCCATGGGTGGGTATTGCAGTGTGTACATTTCAATTCACAAAGAAGGGTTAAAACACATGTTCACAATATTCATGGAGTGAGGTAGCACAACACGATGTCATTTGTTGATTGTTAGTTTCATGAGAAATCTAGATCACATTGGTACCTTTGTGTACATGCTTATTGGAGAGGTCTATGCTTTGATTGTCAATGTTGCACTAATCTTACATGGGCTTTTGTTTGAACTACTAGGAATCCGATGATGATAATCATTCCCCATCTTCTATTGGCAAGCAGCGACAATATTCTGGACCCAAGGACAGAAAGAGTGCTAGCATGAAGATGGATGGGAGAAGCAGGTACATGACTTCTTCATATACTTTTCAGCTTTTAGCACAAGTCTGCTGCTTCTTATTAAAGTGTACTACCTCAATTGTGAACCTTCTTCCATTGATCTTATCGATCTTTTTTTTCCCTTCTTCAGAGTTGGGAGTAATCCTCGTGGGTTATGGAACTTCTTAGTGCGCCATCCAGGTGGGAAGTCCGAACCTGGGATATCAACAGCCGATGGAAGTGTATGCCTTACAATTACCCTATAAATAATCAGCTATGCTGTTTTTACCTGTGTAATATTGAGTTTTATTCCCCTTCAGATATCTCAAGTATATCAATGTCCAGGCATTTCCTAATTTTATAGATTGTAAAAAAGATCACTTGCAAGTTGAACCTTTAAAAGCNTTAATATTGAGTTTTATTCCCCTTCAGATATCTCAAGTATATCAATGTCCAGGTATTTCCTAATTTTATAGATTGTAAAAAAGATCACTTGCAAGTTGAACCTTTAAAAGCNGCAATTGACAACTTGATTAAAGGGAATGTAGCTTTGTTGGAAAAGTAGCTTTGAAGGTTTCCATTGGAGACTGATTCTTTGTGGCATTCTATTATCAAAAAGTATGGAATTCATCCCCATGGATGGGACTCTAATGTGGTGCGTATAGGTTCCTNGCTACTGGCTTGAAGGTAGAAAAGGCTTGCTTTTCGGTCAATGCCAATTCAGCCTCTCCTTATATCTGTCTTCTGCCAGATTCTTCTAGATAAATCTAGAATATTTGTTTATACAGAATACTTGACATTGGGTTAACCCTGTTGAACAGTTAATGACAGTTGTGCTATACACACAGAAACAGTCACACACAAATGCTTGAATAGAAGCGCCCAGCCCCAGCCCCACACACATATGTATCCAATACATTGTGTTTGCGTAGAAGGGGTTCCTTCACTTTTTTTATTTGTGCCTTCTTTTATACAATCCCCGGGCAACCACCCCTTTCCCCTCCCTGTCTCCCTTAATAATGATAATCAAAGAAAGGCTGATTTTTCACCTGTTTAGAGGTAAGTAAAAGTTACAACAGCTACATGTGAGGTTGACAATAATGTATCAAATCAGGTCTCTATATTGAAATTTAATGCACTCTGTTGTGACATGGATTATACTTAAATTTCTGTTCTGTAAATGATTCATCCTCAATTTGAACAGCATAGAAATATATATGCCTATAATCTCATAAAGTGAGCATAACGAAGAAGTTGAAATGTTTATCTACATAAGAAATTCCGTGAAGAATGCCCCTTAATGTATGACAAGAGTGGGGAACACTATTCTAATAAGCGAGGATGTCAAATTTGATGTTGCCATAACTGGTATGAGAAGAGAAGGTTTTTAGAGGCTTGCAATGGTCTGCTTCTGTGGCTAAAAGATGGAAGGGTAGTACTGGTTTAGTGTTTATAACAGGTTTAACAAAGATTTGAGTCTTTGAAAATTGAAATGGGATAAGCATGCAAAAGCTTTGGCTTGTTCTACAAGGTTTAGTGCTTTATTAAAGTTTTGGATGGAATCAAAGGATTACATGGATGATCATAGGCCCTTGGTTTCTCCTAATTATGCCTGGAGTCCCAATCGAACCCATCGTTATTGGTTTTCTCCAGTAGCTCTTTTTGCTATATTTTTTTAGATGGCCACTTTTTAAATACAAAATAGGCTCATCTAATGGATAAAAATGACATTGTATTTTGAGCCCTCTGGTTCACTCAAGTCTTCAGGTGGTATTCAAAAGTATGATGGTAGGTTGGTATTTATATGAACTATTAAATAGAAACAAATGCGGTTATGTTGAATGGAGATACCTAGAATCTTGCAGATTTGTTCAACATGCTTGGAAGTTCGAATGTATTTAATGTTGTAAGATGTGAATGCTACTCTAAGTTAAGCATATTGAGTGTCTTTTCTTCGCAGGGTGATGATCCCTTTGAAGAGGCCACAGTTGGTATGGGTGTAGCAGGCTCAGAATCGAATGAAATTCAACGTTTTGAACTTTTAAGGACGGAACTAATTGAACTTGAAAAACGAGTTCAAAAAAGTACTGATCATTCTGAAAATGAGGAGGTAACTCTTACTATTTTAGCCAGATTGTATTCGACTTATGTTTCATATTTATGTATCTGAACTGTAAATTCCTTTCCGTGATGCTCAAAATGGAAGTTCCAACCTGTATAACCATGCTTTAAGAATGGGAACTAATGATGCATTACTTTTGTAAAATATAGTTATGATTTGGAACTGAGGTATGATCTTTTATTTTTGAAAAATAAACGGCAAGGAGAAAACATCTATTAATATATAGGAAATAATGAGGGAAGCTGCAGATAATAATCTCTGTTAGTATGCTTATTTCCATAGATGTTTAACCCCCCACTCTCGCAGAGTAAATCGCTCATTTTTTAGAATAGACTAGAGGAGAATGGGAACTGTCATTGATTGATAAATATTGCTTAAATCAATTGCATGTTTATGACTTCGTGTTTGTCGCAATTCTTACACGCTTATTATTTGAGGTTTCTCCTTAGCCGCATTATATGGTCTGGCTGATTTAGTTGGTGCATTTCTTTCAGGAGGAAATTCAAATGACAGGTGAAACTGCCAGTTACAATAATGAAGTAGAAAGCATTAAATTGGTTCAGGTTCAGAAGAAAGAAAATATCATTGAAAAATCTTTGGATAAGCTTAAGGGAACCACCACGGTATGGATGTCTTATCCTTTCAAAGGATCACTTGAGTTGATTTTGTAGCTTGGTTTTTTGCACAATTATTATAATCATGAGTGACCTATTTTCTGGTATATATTGCTCATCTACTGAGATGATATCCTCCTTTGCTTTATGCAAACAATCTGATTTATGGACTTCATTTTGCCATCTAATGAAATAAGATAAATAACACCATATGATGAACTCATTTATCAGAAAATGGTGTCAAAATCTAAACCTAATGGGGGATTGGCAATTGACAACTTGATTAAAGGGAATGTAGCTTTGTTGGAAAAGTAGCTTTGAAGGTTTCCATTGGAGACTGATTCTTTGTGGCATTCTATTATCAAAAAGTATGGAATTCATCCCCATGGATGGGACTCTAATGTGGTGCGTATAGGTTCCTTTTGTAATCCTTGGAAATTTATCTTTACATAAATTGGAAGATTTTAGAATGCATGTCAATGTAAGAGTGGGAAATGGAGAGAAAATTCGTTTCTGGGAGGAGGCTTGGAAGAGTGAGTCATCTTTTTCTTCTGTGTTTACTCAGCTCTATAGATTATCGAGGTCTCATAATGTCTCTGTGAAAAGTTTGAGAAATACTTTTTGTTTTCATGAAGGGTGGAATTTCAATTTTTTTCGGAATCTTAGTGACGGGGAAACATTGGAGTTGTCATCTCTTCTTCCTTTGATTAGTTTGGTTCATTTGGAGTCCATGAGTAGTGATAAAAGAGTTTGGTCTCTTGATTCTTTTGGATATTCTTCTTCTTGTTCCTATTTTCAAAAGTTGTTTGATGATAGTAGTGATTCACTTTTTGAACCTTATTGGATGATTTGGAAGGCTAAGGTGCCTATGTACTTGCTTGGGTGATTGCTCATAGTAAGGTGAACACTTGTGATTTGTTGCTAAGGAGGGGACTTAAACATTATATTTCCCTTAGTTTGTGTGTTATGTGTAAAGAAAGTGGTGAAAGCATTGACCATTTGTTTCTTCATTGTCCTATTGCTATGTTTTTGAAGTGGGTTATTCCTCGTGATTGTGTATCTCTTTTTGTGGTACGTTCAAAGGATTTGGAAGTGGGAAAAAAGTTTCGACATTTTGGAGAGGTGCTTTTCTGGCTATTATGTGGGTTGTTTGGTTGAAGAGGTATCCCAGAATTTTTTAAAGCAAGGAGGAGGATGAAGAGGAGTTTGTGGAATAGAGTAAAGTTTTTAGCTTCTCTTTGGGTGGTGGCTTCGAATCACTTTTGTGACATTTTTTTGTCGGTCTTGCAACATAATTATTAGAAGGCTGCATCTAGCTAAATGAATTTTTTTTCCATTTCTTTTCTTTTTTCTTCGTTTGTTTTTATATTGGGTGGATAATGTATCCCCCCTCTTTGTACTTTATTCACTTTCTATGAAATAAAAGTTTGTTTCTGTTAAAAAAAAACTCATTTATAAAAAAAAAAAAAACTTTATCAGAGTATTGTTTCTTAACAAAAAAACCCTCATTTATCAGAAAGAATGATGAACAATCAATACATCTGAAATTGCACCAAACGATTTTTACATAGAACATTTCTTGCTGTGGAGGAAGAAATATATAAGTCGTTCACATGTATACTAACCGGGATCCTGGTGATAGGAATCGGATTATATTTTGTTATAGTAGGCGTAGATGTAGATATTATAAGTTATTTTTCATTTTGCTTTTTAGAGGCTTAATTGTCATTTTGACTATTTATTTATTTTAGGGTTTGGGCTCTCTTTATATATATATATATATATAGGGGATATGATATTTGTTTTAGGAGACTTTGATTATTATTGAATATTAATATTGTTTCCTCCTCAAATTATTTCTCTTTTTTTATCTCTTTCTTCTCATCCCTAATTTTTTCCTTCCTAGTCTACATCAATTTGGTATCAAAGTTTAATCTCAATTCAACATTGCCGCTGCCATAGAATCTATTCAATCATCTTTAATTAGTTGTACTGTTGCTGTTCGTCGTCATCGTTGAGCTCTGATTGTCGAACATCTCTTCATCAGCGTCAACCACCAACAACAACATAAAATCAATGTCGCCCAGATAGCCACCAAAAAAATAAATAAATAAAATACTTTTGCCAGATCCGCACTGCTCTTGGTCTCGTTGCAACAGAACTAGCCGAAAAAAAAAACACTATTTATCGTGCGCATTGTTCACTCGCACTGTTTTGGTCTCCACTGTTCCTCGCGATTGGTGTTCATCACGACTGTTGTTTTTGGCAGTTTGCTCCTTGTTGCTATTGTTGAATCAGGATTGATTGGTCATTGCTGCCTCTTATGCTTAACAAAAACACTCTAGAAAAATTACAAAAAAAAAAATTCAGAAAGTTTCAGAATTTTAGAAACATTCTCAAAAGGTCTAGAAAATTACAGAATCACCCCCGTAAGTTCANCAACTGTAAATTCCTTTCCGTGATGCTCAAAATGGAAGTTCCAACCTGTATAACCATGCTTTAAGAATGGGAACTAATGATGCACTACTTTTGTAAAATATAGTTATGATTTGGAACTGAGGTATGATCTTTTATTTTTGAANGAACTGTAAATTCCTTTCCGTGATGCTCAAAATGGAAGTTCCAACCTGTATAACCATGCTTTAAGAATGGGAACTAATGATGCATTACTTTTGTAAAATATAGTTATGATTTGGAACTGAGGTATGATCTTTTATTTTTGAAAAATAAACGGCAAGGAGAAAACATCTATTAATATATAGGAAATAATGAGGGAAGCTGCAGATAATAATCTCTGTTAGTATGCTTATTTCCATAGATGTTTAACCCCCCACTCTCGCAGAGTAAATCGCTCATTTTTTAGAATAGACTAGAGGAGAATGGGAACTGTCATTGATTGATAAATATTGCTTAAATCAATTGCATGTTTATGACTTCGTGTTTGTCGCAATTCTTACACGCTTATTATTTGAGGTTTCTCCTTAGCCGCATTATATGGTCTGGCTGATTTAGTTGGTGCATTTCTTTCAGGAGGAAATTCAAATGACAGGTGAAACTGCCAGTTACAATAATGAAGTAGAAAGCATTAAATTGGTTCAGGTTCAGAAGAAAGAAAATATCATTGAAAAATCTTTGGATAAGCTTAAGGGAACCACCACGGTATGGATGTCTTATCCTTTCAAAGGATCACTTGAGTTGATTTTGTAGCTTGGTTTTTTGCACAATTATTATAATCATGAGTGACCTATTTTCTGGTATATATTGCTCATCTACTGAGATGATATCCTCCTTTGCTTTATGCAAACAATCTGATTTATGGACTTCATTTTGCCATCTAATGAAATAAGATAAATAACACCATATGATGAACTCATTTATCAGAAAATGGTGTCAAAATCTAAACCTAATGGGGGATTGGCAATTGACAACTTGATTAAAGGGAATGTAGCTTTGTTGGAAAAGTAGCTTTGAAGGTTTCCATTGGAGACTGATTCTTTGTGGCATTCTATTATCAAAAAGTATGGAATTCATCCCCATGGATGGGACTCTAATGTGGTGCGTATAGGTTCCTTTTGTAATCCTTGGAAATTTATCTTTACATAAATTGGAAGATTTTAGAATGCATGTCAATGTAAGAGTGGGAAATGGAGAGAAAATTCGTTTCTGGGAGGAGGCTTGGAAGAGTGAGTCATCTTTTTCTTCTGTGTTTACTCAGCTCTATAGATTATCGAGGTCTCATAATGTCTCTGTGAAAAGTTTGAGAAATACTTTTTGTTTTCATGAAGGGTGGAATTTCAATTTTTTTCGGAATCTTAGTGACGGGGAAACATTGGAGTTGTCATCTCTTCTTCCTTTGATTAGTTTGGTTCATTTGGAGTCCATGAGTAGTGATAAAAGAGTTTGGTCTCTTGATTCTTTTGGATATTCTTCTTCTTGTTCCTATTTTCAAAAGTTGTTTGATGATAGTAGTGATTCACTTTTTGAACCTTATTGGATGATATGGAAGGCTAAGGTGCCTATGTACTTGCTTGGGTGATTGCTCATAGTAAGGTGAACACTTGTGATTTGTTGCTAAGGAGGGGACTTAAACATTATATTTCCCTTAGTTTGTGTGCTATGTGTAAAGAAAGTGGTGAAAGCATTGACCATTTGTTTCTTCATTGTCCTATTGCTATGTTTTTGAAGTGGGTTATTCCTCGTGATTGTGTATCTCTTTTTGTGGTACGTTCAAAGGATTTGGAAGTGGGAAAAAAGTTTCGACATTTTGGAGAGGTGCTTTTCTGGCTATTATGTGGGTTGTTTGGTTGAAGAGGTATCCCAGAATTTTTTAAAGCAAGGAGGAGGATGAAGAGGAGTTTGTGGAATAGAGTAAAGTTTTTAGCTTCTCTTTGGGTGGTGGCTTCGAATCACTTTTGTGACATTTTTTTGTCGGTCTTGCAACATAATTATTAGAAGGCTGCATCTAGCTAAATGAATTTTTTTTTCATTTCTTTTCTTTTTTCTTCGTTTGTTTTTATATTGGGTGGATAATGTATCCCCCCTCTTTGTACTTTATTCACTTTCTATGAAATAAAAGTTTGTTTCTGTTAAAAAAAAACTCATTTATAAAAAAAAAAAAAACTTTATCAGAGTATTGTTTCTTAACAAAAAAACCCTCATTTATCAGAAAGAATGATGAACAATCAATACATCTGAAATTGCACCAAACGATTTTTACATAGAACATTTCTTGCTGTGGAGGAAGAAATATATAAGTCGTTCACATGTATACTAACCGGGATCCTGGTGATAGGAATCGGATTATATTTTGTTATAGTAGGCGTAGATGTAGATATTATAAGTTATTTTTCATTTTGCTTTTTAGAGGCTTAATTGTCATTTTGACTATTTATTTATTTTAGGGTTTGGGCTCTCTTTATATATGTATATATATATATATATAGGGGATATGATATTTGTTTTAGGAGACTTTGATTATTATTGAATATTAATATTGTTTCCTCCTCAAATTATTTCTCTTTTTTTATCTCTTTCTTCTCATCCCTAATTTTTTCCTTCCTAGTCTACATCAATTTGGTATCAAAGTTTAATCTCAATTCAACATTGCCGCTGCCATAGAATCTATTCAATCATCTTTAATTAGTTGTACTGTTGCTATTCGTCGTCATCGTTGTGCTCTGATTGTCGAACATCTCTTCATCAGCGTCAACCACCAACAACAACATAAAATCAATGTCGCCCAGATAGCCACCAAAAAAATAAATAAATAAAATACTTTTGCCAGATCCGCACTGCTCTTGGTCTCGTTGCAACAGAACTAGCCGAAAAAAAAAACACTATTTATCGTGCGCATTGTTCACTCGCACTGTTTTGGTCTCCACTGTTCCTCGCGATTGGTGTTCATCACGACTGTTGTTTTTGGCAGTTTGCTCCTTGTTGCTATTGTTGAATCAGGATTGATTGGTCATCGCTGCCTCTTATGCTTAACAAAAACACTCTAGAAAAATTACAAAAAAAAAAATTCAGAAAGTTTCAGAATTTTAGAAACATTCTCAAAAGGTCTAGAAAATTACAGAATCACCCCCGTAAGTTCAAGTAAATTGCAGAAATACCATCCGAAACTCCAAAATTGCAGAAATCTCCTGAGATTTAGAAAATTACAGAAACATCATCTCAGAAGTTTTAAAAATTACAAAAACACCTAAGAAAATTCCAGAATTTGTAGGATCATNCAGTAAATTGCAGAAATACCTTCCGAAACTCCAAAATTGCAGAAATCTCCTGAGATTTAGAAAATTACAGAAACATCATCCCAGAAGTTTTAAAAATTACAAAAACACCTAAGAAAATTCCAGAATTTGTAGGATCATNGAAGCATGGAAACGCACCAGTATTTTTCATACTTTACTCCGATGTGGGGTTCAAGTTTGCAAGGTCATCATTGATGGGGGAAGTTCATTGAATGTCATCTCTAAGTCGGTTGTAGCTCAGTTGCAGTTTAAGCCAGANTATATAGGAAATAATGAGGGAAGCTGCAGATAATAATCTCTGTTAGTATGCTTATTTCCATAGATGTTTAACCCCCCACTCTCGCAGAGTAAATCGCTCATTTTTTAGAATAGACTAGAGGAGAATGGGAACTGTCATTGATTGATAANATATATAGGAAATAATGAGGGAAGCTGCGGATAATAATCTCTGTTAGTATGCTTATTTCCATAGATGTTTAACCCCCCACTCTCGCAGAGTATAATCGCTCATTTTTTAGAATAGACTAGAGGAGAATGGGAACTGTCATTGATTGATAANTCTTACCTAAACTTTCTTTGTTTGTTTTTCCCACACACCACCTTCATAACTTAGCTTGTCCAATTCCTTGTTAAATCCATTGTTGCTTGTCTCACGTTTATTTGAGTCTCTTCATAATAAACTTGTTCTTGTGTGTGCCTGTGCCCATNAAATATTGCTTAAATCAATTGCATGTTTATGACTTCGTGTTTGTCGCAATTCTTACACGCTTATTATTTGAGGTTTCTCCTTAGCCGCATTATATGGTCTGGCTGATTTAGTTGGTGCATTTCTTTCAGGAGGAAATTCAAATGACAGGTGAAACTGCCAGTTACAATAATGAAGTAGAAAGCATTAAATTGGTTCAGGTTCAGAAGAAAGAAAATATCATTGAAAAATCTTTGGATAAGCTTAAGGGAACCACCACGGTATGGATGTCTTATCCTTTCAAAGGATCACTTGAGTTGATTTTGTAGCTTGGTTTTTTGCACAATTATTATAATCATGAGTGACCTATTTTCTGGTATATATTGCTCATCTACTGAGATGATATCCTCCTTTGCTTTATGCAAACAATCTGATTTATGGACTTCATTTTGCCATCTAATGAAATAAGATAAATAACACCATATGATGAACTCATTTATCAGAAAATGGTGTCAAAATCTAAACCTAATGGGGGATTGGCAATTGACAACTTGATTAAAGGGAATGTAGCTTTGTTGGAAAAGTAGCTTTGAAGGTTTCCATTGGAGACTGATTCTTTGTGGCATTCTATTATCAAAAAGTATGGAATTCATCCCCATGGATGGGACTCTAATGTGGTGCGTATAGGTTCCTTTTGTAATCCTTGGAAATTTATCTTTACATAAATTGGAAGATTTTAGAATGCATGTCAATGTAAGAGTGGGAAATGGAGAGAAAATTCGTTTCTGGGAGGAGGCTTGGAAGAGTGAGTCATCTTTTTCTTCTGTGTTTACTCAGCTCTATAGATTATCGAGGTCTCATAATGTCTCTGTGAAAAGTTTGAGAAATACTTTTTGTTTTCATGAAGGGTGGAATTTCAATTTTTTTCGGAATCTTAGTGACGGGGAAACATTGGAGTTGTCATCTCTTCTTCCTTTGATTAGTTTGGTTCATTTGGAGTCCATGAGTAGTGATAAAAGAGTTTGGTCTCTTGATTCTTTTGGATATTCTTCTTCTTGTTCCTATTTTCAAAAGTTGTTTGATGATAGTAGTGATTCACTTTTTGAACCTTATTGGATGATATGGAAGGCTAAGGTGCCTATGTACTTGCTTGGGTGATTGCTCATAGTAAGGTGAACACTTGTGATTTGTTGCTAAGGAGGGGACTTAAACATTATATTTCCCTTAGTTTGTGTGCTATGTGTAAAGAAAGTGGTGAAAGCATTGACCATTTGTTTCTTCATTGTCCTATTGCTATGTTTTTGAAGTGGGTTATTCCTCGTGATTGTGTATCTCTTTTTGTGGTACGTTCAAAGGATTTGGAAGTGGGAAAAAAGTTTCGACATTTTGGAGAGGTGCTTTTCTGGCTATTATGTGGGTTGTTTGGTTGAAGAGGTATCCCAGAATTTTTTAAAGCAAGGAGGAGGATGAAGAGGAGTTTGTGGAATAGAGTAAAGTTTTTAGCTTCTCTTTGGGTGGTGGCTTCGAATCACTTTTGTGACATTTTTTTGTCGGTCTTGCAACATAATTATTAGAAGGCTGCATCTAGCTAAATGAATTTTTTTTTCATTTCTTTTCTTTTTTCTTCGTTTGTTTTTATATTGGGTGGATAATGTATCCCCCCTCTTTGTACTTTATTCACTTTCTATGAAATAAAAGTTTGTTTCTGTTAAAAAAAAACTCATTTATAAAAAAAAAAAAAACTTTATCAGAGTATTGTTTCTTAACAAAAAAACCCTCATTTATCAGAAAGAATGATGAACAATCAATACATCTGAAATTGCACCAAACGATTTTTACATAGAACATTTCTTGCTGTGGAGGAAGAAATATATAAGTCGTTCACATGTATACTAACCGGGATCCTGGTGATAGGAATCGGATTATATTTTGTTATAGTAGGCGTAGATGTAGATATTATAAGTTATTTTTCATTTTGCTTTTTAGAGGCTTAATTGTCATTTTGACTATTTATTTATTTTAGGGTTTGGGCTCTCTTTATATATGTATATATATATATATATAGGGGATATGATATTTGTTTTAGGAGACTTTGATTATTATTGAATATTAATATTGTTTCCTCCTCAAATTATTTCTCTTTTTTTATCTCTTTCTTCTCATCCCTAATTTTTTCCTTCCTAGTCTACATCAATTTGGTATCAAAGTTTAATCTCAATTCAACATTGCCGCTGCCATAGAATCTATTCAATCATCTTTAATTAGTTGTACTGTTGCTATTCGTCGTCATCGTTGTGCTCTGATTGTCGAACATCTCTTCATCAGCGTCAACCACCAACAACAACATAAAATCAATGTCGCCCAGATAGCCACCAAAAAAATAAATAAATAAAATACTTTTGCCAGATCCGCACTGCTCTTGGTCTCGTTGCAACAGAACTAGCCGAAAAAAAAAACACTATTTATCGTGCGCATTGTTCACTCGCACTGTTTTGGTCTCCACTGTTCCTCGCGATTGGTGTTCATCACGACTGTTGTTTTTGGCAGTTTGCTCCTTGTTGCTATTGTTGAATCAGGATTGATTGGTCATTGCTGCCTCTTATGCTTAACAAAAACACTCTAGAAAAATTACAAAAAAAAAAATTCAGAAAGTTTCAGAATTTTAGAAACATTCTCAAAAGGTCTAGAAAATTACAGAATCACCCCCGTAAGTTCAAGTAAATTGCAGAAATACCATCCGAAACTCCAAAATTGCAGAAATCTCCTGAGATTTAGAAAATTACAGAAACATCATCTCAGAAGTTTTAAAAATTACAAAAACACCTAAGAAAATTCCAGAATTTGTAGGATCATCCTCTAAATTGTCAAGTACCCTCTTGGAGTTGTATCTAACACCAAGTACGAGTTCTCTTCGTTGAGAATTGGTGAATAGTATTTATATTTGTTGGTAAGTCAAAAAAAAAAATCTTACCTAAACTTTCTTTGTTTGTTTTTCCCACACACCACCTTCATAACTTAGCTTGTCCAATTCCTTGTTAAATCCATTGTTGCTTGTCTCACGTTTATTTGAGTCTCTTCATAATAAACTTGTTCTTGTGTGTGCCTGTGCCCATTTATATTGAATTATAGTTTTTATTACTTGGTTTAATTTTTAGTCTAGTCAGCATTTTACATTAGCCTAAATTTTACATCACATTCATTATGACCCTTTGAGAGCTTTTAAAGTCCCATACTGCATTAGAACAAAAAATTGAGACCCTCACCATTGATATGACCAACACTAAACAATCAGTCGACTTGTTACGTGAGGAAGTTAAAGGAATGGGGCAACAACTTTCTCAAGTTACTACTCAACTAGCCCAATTGACTAAGTTTATTAAAAAAAGACCAATAGAGTTTGACCAGGGTGAGTCACCAGTTTCACCTAAGTTCAGATAGGCACNCGGGACAACAACTTTCTCAAGTTACTACTCAACTAGCCCAATTGACTAAGTTTATTAAAAAACGACCAATAGAGTTTGACCAGGGTGAGTCACCAGTTTCACCTAAGTTCAGATAGGCACACCATGTTAGGCACTTGTTTCTCCTGATAGATCGTACTGACTCATGTCAAGGTGTCCTACTCACTCTGCAGGTNACAATTGACAACTTGATTAAAGGAATGTAGCTTTGTTGGAAAAGTAGCTTTGGAGGTTTCCATTGGAGACTGATTCTTTGTGGCATTCTATTATCAAAAGTATGGAATTCATCCCCATGGATGGGACTCTAATGTGGTGCGTATAGGTTCCTTTTGTAATCCTTGGAAATTTATCTTTACATAAATTGGAAGATTTTAGAATGCATGTCAATGTAAGAGTGGGAAATGGAGAGAAAATTCGTTTCTGGGAGGAGGCTTGGAAGAGTGAGTCATCTTTTTCTTCTGTGTTTACTCAGCTCTATAGATTATCGAGGTCTCATAATGTCTCTGTGAAAAGTTTGAGAAATACTTTTTGTTTTCATGAAGGGTGGAATTTCAATTTTTTTCGGAATCTTAGTGACGGGGAAACATTGGAGTTGTCATCTCTTCTTCCTTTGATTAGTTTGGTTCATTTGGAGTCCATGAGTAGTGATAAAAGAGTTTGGTCTCTTGATTCTTTTGGATATTCTTCTTCTTGTTCCTATTTTCAAAAGTTGTTTGATGATAGTAGTGATTCACTTTTTGAACCTTATTGGATGATATGGAAGGCTAAGGTGCCTATGTACTTGCTTGGGTGATTGCTCATAGTAAGGTGAACACTTGTGATTTGTTGCTAAGGAGGGGACTTAAACATTATATTTCCCTTAGTTTGTGTGCTATGTGTAAAGAAAGTGGTGAAAGCATTGACCATTTGTTTCTTCATTGTCCTATTGCTATGTTTTTGAAGTGGGTTATTCCTCGTGATTGTGTATCTCTTTTTGTGGTACGTTCAAAGGATTTGGAAGTGGGAAAAAAGTTTCGACATTTTGGAGAGGTGCTTTTCTGGCTATTATGTGGGTTGTTTGGTTGAAGAGGTATCCCAGAATTTTTTAAAGCAAGGAGGAGGATGAAGAGGAGTTTGTGGAATAGAGTAAAGTTTTTAGCTTCTCTTTGGGTGGTGGCTTCGAATCACTTTTGTGACATTTTTTTGTCGGTCTTGCAACATAATTATTAGAAGGCTGCATCTAGCTAAATGAATTTTTTTTTCATTTCTTTTCTTTTTTCTTCGTTTGTTTTTATATTGGGTGGATAATGTATCCCCCCTCTTTGTACTTTATTCACTTTCTATGAAATAAAAGTTTGTTTCTGTTAAAAAAAAACTCATTTATAAAAAAAAAAAAAACTTTATCAGAGTATTGTTTCTTAACAAAAAAACCCTCATTTATCAGAAAGAATGATGAACAATCAATACATCTGAAATTGCACCAAACGATTTTTACATAGAACATTTCTTGCTGTGGAGGAAGAAATATATAAGTCGTTCACATGTATACTAACCGGGATCCTGGTGATAGGAATCGGATTATATTTTGTTATAGTAGGCGTAGATGTAGATATTATAAGTTATTTTTCATTTTGCTTTTTAGAGGCTTAATTGTCATTTTGACTATTTATTTATTTTAGGGTTTGGGCTCTCTTTATATATATATATATATATATATATAGGGGATATGATATTTGTTTTAGGAGACTTTGATTATTATTGAATATTAATATTGTTTCCTCCTCAAATTATTTCTCTTTTTTTATCTCTTTCTTCTCATCCCTAATTTTTTCCTTCCTAGTCTACATCAATTTGGTATCAAAGTTTAATCTCAATTCAACATTGCCGCTGCCATAGAATCTATTCAATCATCTTTAATTAGTTGTACTGTTGCTATTCGTCGTCATCGTTGTGCTCTGATTGTCGAACATCTCTTCATCAGCGTCAACCACCAACAACAACATAAAATCAATGTCGCCCAGATAGCCACCAAAAAAATAAATAAATAAAATACTTTTGCCAGATCCGCACTGCTCTTGGTCTCGTTGCAACAGAACTAGCCGAAAAA